CAGTCTCGTACCAGTTCTCTGCTGCTGTACTCGTACTCAGTGTGACTTGCTGTTTTCGGCATTCGGGAATCCAAGACTTCGACTTTGTGCCTTGCCACTGTGTCTGCGTCCGATCCTCAGTCCGAGTCCGTCGTGTCGAGTGAGTGAGTGTGTGTGTGTGCTCTCACTCTCTCCCTCTCTCTCCTCTCCCTTGGCTCACCCTCAGCCTCACGCTCGTTACATTTCTCGCGTTCATAATGTGTCATGAAAAGATTTGAAAAATTCATGGAAGTACATTGAGTGCCAATCTTTCAGGTAAAGATACTCGAAAGATCCAAAACAAAAATTCTGAATGGCAAAGAAAACCCTGGTGGCAAAGTCCCCCATGATTTTGGTCCTGTTGTGATGTGCTGGGCCTAAACACTTACATTCACTGCTCCAAGGTTGGGAAAACCAATACGTTTATCATAGCTTCAGGAGTAGTGGGGTTTTGAAAACGTTACGAGGGGCCATGCAGTTCTATTGTTTTGACCCTGATGAGAGGGCCCCACTCGGGAACACATCCAAAGGACCATTTCTGCTGGCCGGACATTTGGTAGCATTGACCCAGCCATTCACCACTGCTGCGTCCTGGAGGTGTGCACCGTCTTTGGACGTTTCTCATGTTCATAATGTGTCATGAAAGGATCTGAAAAAATCATGGACGCACATCGAGTGCTAATCTTTCTGGTAAAGATACTCGAAAGATCCAAAACCAAAGTTCTGAATGGCAAAGAAAACCCTGGTGGTCCTGTTGTGATGTGCTGGGCGTAAACACTTATGTTCACTGCTCAAGGTTGGGAAAACCAATACGTTTTCTACTGTTTTGACCCTGATGAGAGGGCCCCACTCGGAAACACATCCGAAAGACCATTTCTGCTGGTCTGACATTTGGTAGCATTGAACCATCACACTAGCCCGTTTTGGCTACCTTTGCACCTCATGTACACCACTTCATTGCCCCACTTATGTTACCTTATTACGAAACTAGAAGGCTGGTAGGCTAGTGGGGCAGTGGTGTTCTAGACCGCCTGACTCCATGTTCCTTCTGCCTTCTCTCCTTTACTGCCCACCTTTGGTCTCCGTATGCCAGCCCCCACCCGTCTTCCCCCTCCTCATTTTAACTTTCCCTTGGAGCTCATGTCATTCATTGGGGTTTTTCAGCGGTGTGGGCCAGGAGGAGAAAAAACAAGATAGTTACTCAGCTGTCCCTTGATGAATGAACCTGGACGTTTTCAGTTTCTCTCTGCTGCTGCACACATTAGTCTAGTAATCATAAATCTGGATCGGAAATTTTGTGGCACAGGGGTAATCTTGTTCTGCAAAGGATTCGACTTCTCTTCCCTGACTGTTTGGTTTCGTTGTGTTGTTATGCTGTTGGCATTTTTTGGTTGAATTCTGTGAAATGGTCGCTCTCAGCCGCCAAACTCCTGGATGAATGATCCGAATGGGCCAATCTTCATCAATGGCCTTTATCATCTGTTCTATCAGGTAAGGTTTGCTCAATGCTGTGGATTAAATGTGCTTTAGTTTCAAAGCTCTTTGCTTTTAGTAGCCCTGTAGTCAAATATGATTATGCTTTATGGCTGTCTCGGTCTCCTCTTGTGTTGATCAGTTCTTGTCTCGTTCTGAGACCTCTTTAAGTGTTTTGGCTAAGATCAAGTTTAGTATGTGTTCTCATCAGTTTAATATTTGATCCGTGTCATCGGGCGAAAAAGGAGGAAATAATAAAATTACTCCCCACAGTATGGCCACTGGACCCTCCAAAGAGCATTTACTGCGAAGGATTGACCGTTACACCCAAGTCCCAGTGCAGATCCTGTCCTTCTTCACAGAGGTTTTTTTCCATTATTTGGTTTTGATTTTTTGGTAGTTTTTGTTGTTAAACCACCCTTTCCTTTCTCACTAGAACACTAAGTCTCAAAAGTAGCCTATTCCGGGGGCTCGGGGCAGTGTTGGAGGCCAAAAAAACTCAAACGAAAAAATGATGCAATAACTCGGCTCAAATCTGCATAAGCTGTGGGCTCTAGGTCGTCACTTCTAGTCAAAGGCCGGACACGGGGGTCAAGAGTCACGCCCTCAATCTAAGAAAAGCCTGGGCAAAGGCCTAAGGCCAAGGGGTACCCAGGGGAGGGCCAAAACCAGCATTCAGAGGCCCTACCAGGAACAGTTGACTTTGAGAAAGTCATCGGTCAACCCCAGCACGGGAATCCAGGCCCAGAGGTTAAAGTCAACCTGCTGGTCAGCCACGGCCGTAGATCAGATGCGCATCATTGGTTGTCCGCAGGTATCAAGAAGAATCCGGTCCAAGTGGGACATGTGGGAAAAAATCTGGAACTGTACAACATCCAGGCCATTGGGTTCAGATTGTTCTGGGCCATTGACCCCAGGATACCAGAGGCTGGTCAACGTGAGTCAACAGTATAAGTTGACCCAGCCCCTGCTTGGAGATCATTCAGTCTTGTGCATTCTGCCAGGCGCTGGCTTGATGCTGGTGCGACGATGCAAGTCTGCTCGAGCTTATGCTGTCTACAGATTCTGAGTGTGGGCGTCAGCTTTGAGGGTGATCATGCTGACGTGGCCATAGCCACATTGATTTCTGGTGTGAGTGATGAGGAGAAGCTTACCCGGACTTACCTTTGACGACTCGTGTGCTTTGCTGCTCGTCTCCAAGAGGAAGATCTGCGCCATCCTCCTGGATTGCTGCTGACGTGGCTGGAGGATGGGCGCCGTGCTGTGACCTGTTCGTTGTATATGTCAGTTATCGTTAGGGGAGAACTGTTATTGACGTGGTGAGTGAGGGTGATGCCCGAGGAGGAAGTAGGCTTAAGGAAGGGATTCTTCTTCGTTGATTCTTGTGGAAACTCTCCTTCTTCTCCTCTGTCTCTTCTCCCTCTCTCCTCATTCTCTTCTCCGAGTTCGAGACAATCCGATACTACGCCTATGACGAGCATGATTTCACAAACGATGTTTGGAGACATTGATGCTGCGATGTGTCAGACTTGTATTTCAACGCTCACGAGCTTCTCATTTGACTGGGTTCATTGCAATTTGGTATCAAAGCCATATCTTCCTTGCTCTCCATCTGGTTGAGACATTTCGCGGGATTATGGTGATGATGACGATGACAAGGACCTGAGGTGTCGTCGGTGGAAGAGAAGAGCGACATTGTCTATTTTCATCGCTGCTTGATAACTCACCAGTGCTCGTTGGAGGGAGAAATGCTGACCTTGCATTGGAAACGGGACTAGCGGGAGAGTGCTGAATTGGAAGGAGGAAGGAGAGAAGGAACTTATCTGGTGATGTGGACACTCCTTCGGCGCTGATGCTGGTAGTGGCCTGCTGACGTGGCAGCTTGATAGCGGTACTGGACTCTCCTCCTCGAGAGGTGCTCCTTGCTGATATGGCGTGCTGCCTAGTGAGGTGGCAGCGGACATAGGCACTGGCATGGCACCTTCCTGAAGAAACAGCGAGGTACACAGGTTGGCGCGGCATGTCCAGAGTGCCGCGATGTACGTCCAGTTATGAGGCACCTCCCTGAAGTGGCAGTGCATGACGGAGGTCGACGCGGCAGTTTCCAAGCGGCATTCCAGTAAGCAGCTACGGTTCTCAGCGGTATGTTACTGCTCATGTGCTCCAAGTACTACTATACCACTGGCGTTATTGAGCGCATCGGTCCCGCAGGGGGGGGCCGTCCCGGCCACGTCACACAGGATTCGTGCAGGACTTTCTTACCATGGTGCAATGGAGCTTCTGTCGCCGCTCCGGCCGAGTGCACCTCCCATACATCTCACGAACCCCTACGACAGGATAGGCCCACACGAGGTACAACTTACCTCCGCCCAAGGGGCTGTCACCACCCTTGAACGTGCGTATCCCCGCCGAGCTACTGAACCACATGTGGAAGCTTATCAGTTGCAATGGCAGAGGTGGCCCAACCGAGGGTGTTTCTCTTACGCTGTAGCGTAGGAGGTACGAGCGGTCTGTTGTGAGAGGATTGAGAGTGAGCATGCCTCTTGGGACTCGGAAGGTGGCGAGTTATGCCTGGGCGGAACAGCCCAGGGCACAACAGCAAGGGCCGCAGGCAGGACACTGCGGCCAGTCTTGTGGAACCCTTCCCACTACGGGCGCAAAATTCCCATTTGAATATTTGCTACTACCACCAAGATCTGTACCGGGGCCCACCTCACCTAGGCCCGTTTTTCAGGTTTCGGAGCAGGCCCGACGCCTTCCTACTCGTCAAAGGGTCGGAACCGCATAGGTGGAGCATTGCAGGGCCATCAACCCTCAGGGCTGATCGAGTCTACAGGTAACTTGTGACACACTCCTTAGCGATTTCGACTTCCACGACCACCGTCCTGCTGTCTCTATTATAGGTGACTCGCGTTGTGGAGTCTGGTTAGCGCATAGTTTTGGCCGAAGGTGAAGCTGAGGCTGCGGGTGAATCTGGACGTGGACTTGTGCCAGGGGGGCGCGAGGCAGCTAGCGGAACATGCAGGGAGGGAGAAGCGGCTATGGCGAGGAAGATTGTCGTGCCCCACTCATTTCTTGGTGAAAACTGGGGGGGAAGGATTCTAATCGGGTGTTTTTGGGGCTGGCGATTCCGCTTATGAACTTAGAGTTAGCAAAACGTTAGTAGAGAGAGAGTTAGGAGAGAAAAGAGCTGCGCGGAGGGATGGTGAAGACGGATATGGAGGAAGCGGATACGAAACTCACCCGATCCTTGATGAAATCGGGTGAGGATAAGTGTGATTTAGAGGTTTTGATACCGGGCAAATGTGATTGCAGGGTTAGATTTGGAAAATATTGAATGGTTTCGTTGCTACAGGAGTGAAGGGCTGCACGATGTTGCTCGTAAGGTGCTGAAATCTGGCATGTATCTTCTCGGGTTTTAGCGAAAGATACATTTGGCTTGTTGTAGCATATGCTTCGATCAGTTTCATATCCGATCCTCCCCCCCACATAATCAAGAGTAGCATCTGCTCCGATCAGTTTCATATCTGATCCGTGGTCCATCGAGGCCTTTTTATTTTAAGAAAGAAATAAAAAGAAAGAAAAAAAATTACCCGTGCGCGCGAGCGAGCGAGAGAGAGAGAGAGTGAGAGAGGTCCGTCGAGATGGTTTAAACGGGCGCACGCAAGACGCGGGAGGGAGGGAGGCAGGGAGAAAGGGAGAGAGAAAGGGAGAGGGAGAGAGAGA